ATATGTGTAATGACTTCATCTTTAACTTTGAATTAGCAGCGGGTAATTTAATATGTTTTGGTTTTGTTTTGTTTTTTTAGAAACCCATTAACTAAACTTTCTCTGCAGCTATTTTCAGTCCTGTTTCAGCCACGTGTGATCTGATAAGATCTTGTTACAGAAGCCGCAGATTTAGGCTTAAAATGAAACCTGTCTGCTGTCGGTTCCAATGTTTACCTTCTACCATTAACATAACGTACGTTCCTGTGTCTTCGTTTCCACACTGTGTAAACCCACCTCCTTCAACAGATCTGTGGATTTTTCTCCTTCCTTCCCGACGGCACCTCATTTCAGTTTACACAGTGGAAATGATGTCACGTTTCCTTTAATCTGCTGTGCTGACAGCAAACCAAAGTCAAGTCAGATGAAGGACTTTAATTATCTTTTATGTCAGTCTCACTTCACCTTAAATGGGTGTTAAACAGCTAATTGTCATCAAATTTTCATTATCTGCCACAGCGGAGTACTTTACCGTGGATGAACCAGCGTTCTTGGCAGTTTTTGTCAAACACTGAGCCACCTGCTGGGTTTGTCACGTCAAACGTTTGTTAGATCAGTTTATGAGAAGTGAAAAATGCAGCCTCAAACAGAAGAGTCAGTAGAGTTTTACTCCAGGCCACTCTGACTAATGAGGTCCTCAGGTAACAAGGCTGGTAAAACCTGACTTTTATGGACGATTTAGTTACTCAAACAAAAAAATAAAGATAAATAAAATGCTCTTTTTATTACGTCTTTCATTTCCATTAATTCCAATCAAAAAAACTCAGAGGAAATGAAGAGAGCTGCAAATGACATTATTGGACTGAAGTCAGGTTCTGTTTGTCAGTCAGTCAGTCTGTAGCCTAACAGACTGACTGACTGACCGTCTCTCTGGTTTCTCAGGGTATTCTGAGGTAACGCAGCCTCACTCAGTCACAGACGACCTACAGACGACCTACTGAATATAAAGGTCTTACTGAGTAGAAAGTTGTGTTTGTGTCCATTTTTTTTGTTCTTGAAACCAAATGTTATTAATATTTGAACATGACTTCCTCTCAGTGTGAGTATGAGGTCTGCTCAGAGTGGACCAGAACATAAGGTCAGAGACATGTGTAAGGACCGTGTTGGTCTCATATGGACTCATTAAAGGCCACTTCAGTTTTTTCTCACTGCTGTCATGTCAGCGATCTACTCCTTTAACTGCTGGACATCAGCCACTAATGGGTGGAAAATTGCGTATGAAAATAGCTCCACGGAACCGAGAAGTGCTGCACGAGCATGTGTTCTATTACTAGACGTCCACACGCTGCGTGCTACATGTGCAGGCACAGTGTGGGCTGGGTGTCTGTTTGTTTGAATGACACCAGCTGCCATCTTGGATTGTGTCTCTTCAGTAATGACGGTTTGTTGTTGTTACCCACTCTGATGCTCTGGGTCTTATATATGGAGGGTGTGGGGGGGGGGGGGGTTGTGC